CTATTTCAAGAGAAAATGGTTCAGGTGAACAGGTCAAATACTTTCTATTAAAAGTGCAATCGCTATGAAATATGAGGGTGCCTTCTTTTTCAATGCTGTGCGCTTTGAATATGACATATGGTTTCTGATTACATCCAATATATCCATAACTTGAAATTACGTCTATGTCGCATTTGGCTTTTTGAATATTTAGACTAACAATGTCTATATTTCCAATCATTAAATTGAAATGTGCAAGTATGTTATGTTTCTCCATGATAATATTCCGACCTCTGTTTGAATAGGTTTTAGTAGTCTGAGCTTTTTTTGCATTTCTGAATCGTTTTAATTTAGGTTCTGGTATAAAACAAACAGCGTTACATTAATCAGATGAAAAAGCTCTAGACGAGGTTGAAATGGAGTGACGCTCCGTGCGTGGATTTATCACTCAAAATGACTGATATCATTTTGAGTGACGCTAGGACGCTGGTTTATCTCTGGGAACGAAGTTCAAAAGTGTTTTTCGCATTCACTATTGTGAAAATTTATTTGCAATAAGGAAAAATATCGCGTCACGACTTTTGGACGGCAAAACGCTTTAAAGCTTGACTTGAAGACTAAATTCAAAAGTCGTGACGCGATATTTTTCCTTATAGTTACACTAAATTTTAAAACTAGTAAACGAAGTAAGAAAAAAAGATTGTAAAAAGCTCAACATTCATTATTAGTATTAAATTGTCAAAATTGAAAAAAGTACATAGCTCTTTAAGATATTTCGGTTTAGATAAAAGTTCATAATGATTAAAAAAACAATTATGCGATAGAAATATGTATAGAAACTTTAGGAAAATCAATCATAATCGTTAGAGCAAAGTTGCATCATCCACAAATCATCAAACGTATGGCCTCTACGTAGTGGCTATGTTCTGCACTCGAGATCCAAGAACCAACATCGCCTTATTTGTCAGTCGATTAGGATTGTAGACTGTTGGAACGCGTGGTGGCGCTGCATTTCCTGAGTTATCTTTTGGTATATTAATACCTAAAATAGGTTGAGCAATGGAACATAAACTCTTCGCAATGAACCTGTATATGCAGAAATCACGTCAAGTTCGGGCAAAAAAGAAAGTCATCGAAATCGTATTCAGCGGACATTGAAATCTGGAAGATGTTTAATATCGATGTAAGTTTACAGTACCTAATATAATGTATTTTTTCATTTTTTTATACAATATTTTCAAGATATTTTGAAGAACTACTAATTCACTTATTAATTTTTTTTTTCGAATTTGTCTGCTTACAGATCATGTTTTCATCGTTTCTCACTATAACCGTAGGACGACTCAGATGTGAATCGATTATCACCAACAAAAAAAACTCTTCCTCGACCAAGCTCACAATTTTGGAACAAAGACAACGATTGTGTAAAAGCTTACATGGAAAAGATGGCACCAGGACAGCTGCAAATCAATTCAAGAGCAAAAACGGAATTGTGTTTTTTTATTTAGTAATTCACTCAGAATTATCACGCATTCAAGTTCATTTACATCTTGAAACAATATCATATCTTAAACATAGGAAAAACTTATGTAAAATATGAAACTGAAGCAGTAATCCACGAAAATGTCCGAGTTTGGGTTGAAACTAAAACAAGCCATGGCGAAAAAGATCATAACAAAAGTAATCTCTTTCCGTGCCCGCTTTTGATAACACCGTTGCAATTACATCTTGAAGATGTAATAATCTTGTATCTCACAGAGGAAAGCAACTACAGAGGAACTTCGAATATTGACAAAAACCATCATCGCTTCAAATGATTAAATCAGAGCTTTTGGATTTCACCAATTGATGAATTTTGCCATAGATAAGATTCTAATGATCGCATATTCAAAAAAAGCAAAAAATGTAGTAAAAATTTTTATTAAGAATATTACCATTGTCAAGAAGATAATAATTACGACGGCGAAGGCTATGTTTATCGATGACATTCGCTATCAAATTGAAGTAAATTGGTTTTAATTTTTTTTCAATGTCGATTTTCTACAATCCAGTAACCAAGAGAAATTTTAACATTTAAACATAAAGCATGTAAAGTTATGTGAAACGAAGTAATTTGAAGTATGAGTTGAATCTGATAAAATTTAAATAGATATAGTATAGAAATAATGAAGAGGAAGTATAATTGTTGGTGATGAGCTGAGAACTGTCCGTGATCTTCATTCAGCTTCCTATTTATAATCTTGATATCAGATGTGACACTATGAGATGTGGATAGTTGTGGTCACGTCGTGGTTAGGTCATACATAGAAGTGTATAATATACAAAATGATTAGGCAACGAATTGGTTCGGTGTCTAGGACAAGACTGATCTAATGATCTTTATTGAACAGTTTATATAGTAATCAAAATGCGGTGCGATACAGGTGTAACATATTGTATATGCGTAATGTAATTAATATGAATACAATGAAATATTATTATTGTGATAATTATCACAAGATCAATTTTGTTTAAAAGACAAACTTTGTTATTACCTATAGAAAACAACAGAAGGTATAAGATCTTAACATTATTTATACATATTTAAATAATAAGTTTCAGTTTTTTATTGTGAATTGTTCATAAAATAACGAGAGAATAAAAAAATGCAAAGAAAATAAATGTTTGCGAATATATTTGCGAGTTTTCCATTATTGTTCAATAAAATATTTCAGTTTAGCGATCTTCTTGTTTCAGAATCGAAATGGAGTTGAGCTTATATAAAAATTGTGAGTTGTCACTAATCACTAGTTTAATTCTATGCTTCTTTATGAAGATATCCGACAGTTGAAAAATAATTGTTATTTCTTCTTATTAGCGTTGTTGCTTATCTATGTTCACAAATCAATTACTCGTAATGCCAGGTAGGAACTCTATATGATATGAGTTTTTGATGTGATAATTTCTGCAACTTGATTCGATTATTTTGCGGACGCACACCTGAAAATTTATCTTAATGAAAATTGAAATAAACAATCAAAATTAACAAAAAAAAACTCACAAATAAAATCATCGAAAATTCAAAAGGGATGAACTAACTTGACAGTCCTGCAATATCTGTGTTCTCGCTGAATCTATATGATTTTGAAGTAGTGTTGGCCTTCGAACACATTCGAACACTTGTTCGAGTGTTCGTCAACATAAAAAGAAACTGTTTTGTTCGTTCGTTCGTTCG